TACTACGACTACTACGACTACTACGACTACTACGACTACTACGACTACTACTACTACTACTACTACTACTACTACTACTACTACTACTACTACTACTACTACTACTACTACTACTACTACTACTACATGTCCTCCTTGGAGGCGAGCGCCCGACCCGAACGTATAGTATAGCATACCCGTCTTGTAGCACATCGTTTCCCGAGCGGCGTGGCCAGAAAGCGCCCGCCACGACGCATCTACTGTGAGATCTCTCGGTGCGCGCGTCGCACCGAGAGGGAGGGCGACGCACACCTAGCAGAGGCGTGTTGGGGTGGCGCCCGTCGCCGCGCCGCGACGGGGGGCGGAGCGCCGCGCCCTGCCGCCCGAGCCTCCCGAGAAGGCCCGGGCCCTCCTCGGAGGGGCCCGGGGGCGCACGCAGACAGCGAGACGGAGATCCCCAGACCCCCTCGAGTAATGAAAAAATCATGACGGGAGGTTTTTCCTAATTTTCGGCCTCCTGGGGCCCTCACCGGGCCTCGGGAGCGTCAAAAAACGACTCAGGATGACAAACCGGTCCTGGGGAAGGGGTCGAGAACTCTGGGGTCGACGTAATGAAAAATTCATTACGTCGGGGGTCTGGGTCCCAGGATCCCCCGCGTCTCCGCATGCTCTCTGGAGTGTCGCCTTCCCCCCAAAACAGGGCTAGGGTCGGGATAAATCGCTCCAGAGCGTTCCGGAGCGCTCTCAGAGCGTTCCGGCACGCTCTGGAGCGGCCGCGGCGCCCAATACGTCCCCCAAACCCGCCGATTCTCAGAGGTTTCGAGCTATCCCGATCAGATTTTGTCCCGATCTTCGCGTCGTTTTATCCCTTCCTTTCTGCTGGGCCTTCGACGGCAAGCTGTGTCTGTGCCGGCTTCCCTCGCGCCTCCTCGCTTCGCCCCCTTCCGGCCTGGCCCCGCGGGGCCCGCCGCCGGGCCTGGGGGCACTCGGGGGCGCGTGGCCCCACGACGGCTCAAGGGCCGCCCCTGACGCCCCAGGCATGGTCCGCTTGGTGAATGTGTGCACACAGATGCATGCACGCGCGTATGTGCAGACAACCGGTGCAGTAAGGATACGCGATAAGGGTGCAAGGGCCTTGGACGCCCATTTCGAAGCTCTTCGAGCGGGGCGCGGCCAGCGAACGCGGCGAAGGATGGACCGAGGAGGCAAGGATGCAAGGGTACCCTTGGGAAGGTTACCCATCCTTAATGTGCGGGTTGACTGTATGAATGTATGCTCCGTTTTCCCGTGCATATCCGATTCTCGGGCTGAGGGGCATCCAACACGGCCGATGACTGCCCCCAAGATCGCAGCCAGATGGCCGAGAAGGGGCCAACGAGGATCCCCAGCGGGCTCGAACAGCACCAGGGCGCCCCAATGCGGCCATCTTTACGCGGGCTGTGTCGTCCATGTTGGGAGGGCTGTGTATGCCTCGCAGGCGTGTGGCACGGCCCAGGGAGGGCCACGGCGCAATCCAGACTGCTCGAGAAGGCAAGAGAGCCTCGGAACGCCCAAACGGAGAGCGGGCCCTGAGCTCTGGTGCCCTTCCCCGGCCGCCCCGACCACACTTCGGGGAGTCAGCGCTCATTCGATCACAGCCAAAGTTGTTTTGATTCGACCATCATTGAGGGATGAAAAAACGGCCCTACCCTGGGTTACAAGTGCGTGGTCTGTAAACCTCCTGGGAACCCCCAGAGCCTAGAGCCGCCAGGACGCGGCACACCACGCAGGGTTTGCCCTGTCAGCCCACAGGAGTTTCAGCGCACAGCGCCTCGTAAACCAGGGTAGGGGCGTTTTTGTTTGCCCTTGACATCAGCCACAACTTCCCTGCGTCTCCACAGCGGGCAACGGCCGAGGGCGGTGGCGGTGATTCGCCAGCGGCGTACCCACGCATGGGCCCTCGGTCGCCGCTGCCTCCGCTCTCGGCGCCTCTGCTCGTCCTCGCTCCTGACCGCACGGGGCTGCCCAACCTGCATGGGCTTCGGTCCCGAGGCGCAGTGGGCTGCACCTCCCAGTCCTCCTCCCCGTCCTCCTGCTCCTTCTCCTCATCATCATCTTCGCAGTCCTCATCCTCCTCGTTCTCCTCCTCGTCATCTTCCTCCTCCTGCTCCTCCTCCTCCTGCTCCTCCTCCTACTCCTCCTCCTCCTCCTTCGGGCTGCTGCACCTCCGCACGCACGAGCTCCACCGCCGCCAGCCCTCCGCCCGAAGGCGCAGCTCCCGCCTCGAGGCCAGCCGTCTGGCTCGACAGCGCCACGCTGGGGCTCTTGCGGTGCTTTCTGGGGCCCCGTCTCTGCATGGCACAACACGTGTGCTCATGGAATGCGAATTCCAATGCACGCTGTGTCCGGCCGAAAACGGCAGACCCGCGAGCGCTGTAGCGGAGGGGCCGCAGCATGCCGCAGCCCTCTTAACGGTTCCGGGCCCCGAAAACGGCTCCTCGAGGCCGAAAGGAACAAAAAGCCTGAGGTCGGGCACGTCCCCCTACAGGGGGGGGCTTGGACGAAAAATGAAAATGTACCCCAAAAAGGCTCAAAAATACTCAAAAAAATGCTCAACAAAATGGTCCCCATCTTATTTTTTGACTCCTTCCGAATATTCCTCCTGTGGAGGGAGAGGCTCGACACAAAAAAAGCCCCCTCGAGCCCCGAGCCCCTCGAACCTCGCCCACCCACAGTGGCCGGGGGCTGCTCCGAGTGCTCCTGGCCCAAGGTGCCCCCAGCGCTCCGCTCCGCTTTGAGGCCCCTGGGGCCCTGTGGGCCTCGTTTGGGGGGGGGCCCTCTCGAGGCCGTGGGGGCCTCCTCGGAGATCCTGGGGGCAACCCGAAGGGGTCGCGATGCACCCCAAAAGCGACCCAAGACTGGCTCAAACTGGCACAGAATCGACTCAAATCGACCCCAAATCGGCGCGAACATCGACTCAAAGCTGGCTCAAAACTGGCTCAAAACTGGCTCAAACCGGCACGAGCGACACCGCGCCCTCCTCGGCAGCGGCGGCCCTGCTCCGCGGCGCCGCGAGCACGCGGCGGCACCACCGCAGACGACGGCACCGCCACGCCGCGGCCTCACGGCGCCACGCTCGGCCAGGACGCCCTCTGCCGGCCATGTGGGCCAGTTGTGGTTTGGGTGCCCTGGCTCCTCGAAGGGTGGCGACCCCCTCTCGAGGAACTTGCCCCTCTGCAGGGGCTTGCAGGCCCTCTGCCGGCTCTGTTAGGGCCTCTCTGGCCCCCCCCCGGAGCCCCTCGCGCGGGGCAACATAAACACGACGGCGAGCTTCTCGCCATGGCCCGCCTCCGGGGACACCTGCCGGGCCTCGAGGTCGTCAAAAAACGGCTCGGGGTGAAAACACCGGCTCTGGGGAAGGGGTCCAGACCTCTCCCCAGACATGCGACGTCCTGATTTTTTCAGGACGGCGTCCCCAGAAGTCCAGACCCTTTCCCCGGGGCCGGTTTTTCGTCCTGCGTCGTTTTTTGACGCTCCCGAGGCCCGGCGAGGGCCCCCCGGGGCCGAAAATGGCGAAAAACCTCCCGTCCTGATTTTTTTACGACGCCGTCATGTCTGGGGGTCCAGACCTCTCGGTGTCGATCGCTGTGAAAGACTCACGGAGCCCCGGGGGTCCGGGCCTCCCCGGGCATCGCTCGCGCACCTCGGCAGGCAGAGGACGCCAGGCACGGCGCAGGCGTCACAGCCGAAGTTCGACGGGGGCTTGCGGGGGGACGGGGGCTTCGCACCCCAGCCAGCCCCCACTCCCTGACTCCTGATCCGCCCTACTTTGGGCGATTTCGAAAGTAGGGCGGTAATTTCCGCCCTACTTTTGAGGCCCCTTTGAGCGTCGATTTCCGCCCTTGAGGCTCCTTTGGCGTCGATTTCCGACACAATTTTAGGTCGGAAAATCATCCAAAGTACGGCGGATCAGGAGCCAGGGCAGCCGGCCCCCACTCCCTCGGGGACGTGGACACTTGCAGAACAACGACTGCGACAGTGGCACTCCTGAGAGCTGCACCTTGGTGAGCAGTGGAAGCAGGCGTAGGAGCAAAAAACTTCGATAGAAACTCTGACAGCGGTGAAATGTTACGACCAACGAAATGACGGCGTACACGCACACCGCATGGAAAGAAGATGCAATCCAAATGGTGGCGACATGGGAAGGAATGGAAAAAGCGATCCTGCGGTCGAAGCCTTTGTGCCAGGAGGCACCAGACATCGCAGCCAGCACGATATGTGGGGCAGTGTGCTTCGAGCGTACGCCCAGCTTATCTGTGCTGAACAGCAGCGCGGCATCACTCAATCGATGAACGCTGCCTGACGAAGCACATGCATCAGGCAAGCGAGCGACTCGACGGCCCCACACAGAACTGCAGGATGCTGCTGCGCAGTGCCGACTGACGCCATGCCCCATAGTCGGGCACCAGAAGAAGGAGGAGGAGGAAGGGCAGAGAGAGGAGGAGGAGGAGGAGGAGGAGGAGGAGGAGGAGGAGGAGGAGGAGGAGGAGGAGGAGGAGGAGGAGGAGAATGTTCACCCAGGATCCAAAATTGACCAGACGTTGCTGCCCCATGCCAGGTAACAGCAGCGAAAAGGGGACATACGCGGTGGCCCCGACGCCCCCCCTTCAACATGCGACGACTGCCGCTGCTCCAGATCGCGCCACCAGCTTCACCCGGCAGGTATTCACGTGGCCACCTCGACGCTTCACCCAGTGTGACCCCGTGAACTCTTGCAACCTCTCGGGAGCGGCAAAGAGGGTGGGGCCCAAGAGGGGGGGGGGCAAATCATGACCGGCGGCATGTGCGCGGCCCAGCGGGGGGGCCAGGGACGTAATGAAATAAGAAGAGGCGCTATAAAACCTGGGGAAATATCATGGCCCCCGCCATGATATCCACCCCCCCCAGTCATCACCCCCCTCTTTTCCGCCCCCGAACCTCTCCTCCCGGGTCGAAAAAACAGCCCCGCTCCAACCAGGCCGAACTCCGCCCCACCGTGCCTCCGGGCACGGGGCGGGCGGGTCCGCAGGCCCTCTGCCTCGTCCCTGGAGCTCCGGCCCTCCGTCCCGAGGAGTCTCCGAGGGCGCCCGGACCCCCCCAAATCGCGAGACCTCCCCGGGCTCGTCGCGTGCCCCCGTGGGCGCCGGCAGCCGTTCTCGCAGGAGCGTCTCGGGCCCAGCAGGGCCCGAAGACGGGCCGAGGGCTCCACGAGGCCTCCAAGACGGTCCAAGTGTGGTCCCGAGTCGCCGAATGGTCGATCCAAGACGCACAAAACTGCCCCAAGATGGCCCAAGAGGCCTCAAAGGCGCCCCAAGAAACCTCCAGGAGGCCTCCGAGAGGCCTCCCAAGAGATCCCCAAATGGCATAAGGTCACTGAAGCTCCGTCGGTTTTTGAAGGGTTTTGACGTTCTCGTCTTCTTTCTGCTCTCCCACCCTCCAAGACGGCCCAAGAGGCCCCATGACCACCCCAAAACGGCCCAAGAGGCAACCAAGAGACCCAAGACGGCCTCAGAGCGCACCAAGACGGCCGAAAAGGCGCCCAAGACAACCCAAGAGCGCTCCAAGACGAACCCCAAAGAGGCCCGAGAGAGGGAACACGAACAGAAAATCCGAGCCTTCCTCACCAAGAGGCCCCAAAAGGCGCCCCTGGCGTGCTAAACCCTATACTCGCCTTGGTTCGGGTCCTTTTCCACATGGACTTTCCTCGGGGTTTCGGCCGATGCCGCTAGCCAGCCACCCGGAAGGCTCGCCCAGAGGTGGTTGCAAACGCATTTCCCCCTCCAGATGGCTCCAAGATGGCCCAAGATGGCTTGGCCTTCAAGACGGCCAAAGTGGCCATCAAGTTTGCCCAGGATGGTCCAAGATGGCCTCCAAGACGGCCCCAGAGCGTCCAGAATGCCTCCAAGTTTGCCCAAGAAGCCTCCAAGACGGCCCAAGATGGCCTCAAGATGACGGCAGACGGCCCGAGAAGCCCACAAGAGGCCCCCAAGACGGCCCACGAGCCCTGGTCAGCTCTGATACGTATACAGGTGAAATCTCTCACTCGGCCTCTAGAGGCCATCTGCCGCAAGTGTGCTCTAGTCTGGCAAGCCCTGGGCAGTGAATTGCATGCCAAAGTAAAGATCGACGCTGCGACATCGAGGCCTGCCTTTGAACCATGAACTAACATAAAGCACAGAGCGCGGGAGCTGCTTCACCGAGCCCCACAGAGCAGTGTCTCCAGCAAGGGACCTCTGCTCGTAGGGACTGTCGCGGGCGAAGTCGACTAGGGCCTCCAGCACAGCGTCTCTCCATCGTCATTGGATAGGGGTCTGCCATGCTCGAGCTTGTCCATGTCCTCGGTCTTGCGCTTGCTGGCACTGCGATGTAGAAGACCATCCACCAATCTCCAGCGCTGTCCAGATCCGATGAACTCCAGTAAGGCATTGGCTGCACGATCCGTGGTCAGTCCGTCAGCTGGCATGGCGTCACTGTGAACCCAACGTATCTGGAGGGCAGTCTGCTCCTTCTGCTGTCTGACGCCAAGGCACTCAATGCTCGTCCTCTTGTCGCGTACTCCAAGACCAGCTGACTCACTCTTCTCGATCGCGTCATATCCCGACATCCCGTCTGCGACTAGGAAGCCAGGGCAGGCTGAGATGGCGTCGTTCACGTGCTGCTTGGAGGCGCAATCCACGAGGCCGCACTCCAGATCGCAGATGAAGAGGCGCGCGCAGCTGATCTCGTCCAAGGTCTCCGTCATAATCTGGACCTCCGCATTCGCACTGCTGCTGGCCACGCGAGGTGACTTACAGGATTTCCACGAGATAGGCGCCACGGTCTCTGTCGAACCGCTGAAGAAGGACAGCAAAGCCAGCACGGTCAGCTCTCCGCCCTGGGACTCGCCAGTCACTCGGGCCACCCAAGCCGCGTCGCCCCAGCCAACCGCGGCAATCTGGTCGATGGCCGGGATGGCCATGACCACGTCGGCAGCGTCGTTCATGGCGCGCATGATATTGTAAATATCGACGAGAACGTTGCCGTCGGAATCTCGGCCTGGAGTAGAGACATGTCTGCATTGAGCCACGGGGCCGACTGCTGAGCTCGCCATCCGACTGTAACACATATCGGCCTCGCGCGCATGATCGTTCCGTGTCCGACTCCGTCAGTAGGTTCTCGTCCACGTCGTATCATAATGGGATCCACATTCACGCTGTAACTGTCTTGGGCGAGGCTGCAGGTGAAATCGTCGTTCTGTCGGATACTGACGCCGCACTGCACGAAGGCGCGGCTCTACCAGGGCGGCCACCCGAAAGCCCCCTGGATCTCGGTGCGCTTCTTGAGGGAGGCCGGGCTCGCATAGTCACAAGCGATCATCACATCGCCGACGCGTAGTATCACCGTGCAGACCAGCTCGTCGCCGTCGCGGATGACCCAGGCGCAGAGCCCGCACTGCGCGACCTCCAGTTCGAGTTTCTTCAGCGCGCCCTTGAAGAGGGGCCACCATTTGCGAGGGGCGCGTGCGAGTCCGCACATCGGCTGGACGAAACGCAGAACCCGGTCGTCGCCCATGCCCAAGGCCTGGCGAACGTCTCTCGGAGGGTCCGCGTAGATTTTCCTCTTCTCTTCGTCGGTCACTCCCTGGAGGAAGGCTGTCACGGCATCTGCCTTCTCCAGCTTCCACTGGCGCCCCGCTGCAATGGCCAGTAGAAGTGAACGCGCCCGTCGCGAGGCGACGGGGGGCTCCGTCTGCGGGTGGAGCAAGTCGGGGCCCCTGAAGCAGACCACGACCAGTCTGGCCACGCCTCGAAGAGGCACGTTGCCTTGCCCGCCCTCCTTCCAGGTCAGCGCGAAGCGGCAGAGCAGGGGGCGCGCCGGGTCGATCCCTTGTCTGCTCAGGATCCTGACAGCCCGCGCGCTGGGCCTCGAGTAGCAGCTTCGTCTCCTCTGCGGTCGCCTTCTTGACGGAGACCTCCACTCGGCCCTTGCGGGCCTGCAATGCCAGGGAGCTGCTGGGACCGCCCGCGACGGCCATGAGCGCGCGCTCGTCCTTAACGGGGATGTCCAGCCCGATGAGCTCGCCATCTTCCTCGGCCTCGTCGCACTGCTGGAGGCTGCACGCGTAGCCCCAATAGAAGTCCCCCTCCTGCACGCAATGGGAGAAGGCCTCCTGGGTGGCAGCGGCGAACCGCCATTTCTTGACAGGTGTCTCCGACGACCCTGGTGATTGCCGATGACGCTTGTTTTGATATCGGGCGCCATCGCTTCATCCAGGTCGTCTTCGTCCGTGTCTATGGCAATAGGGCGCTGGGAAGCGCGGTCATCCTGGTCGTCGCTGGGAGGGGCCTCCATGACGATGTCTTCTTTGGGTAGTTCAGCTTCTTCGCTTTGTTGGTCAGTTGGTTCGTCGCCAGGGTGAGGAAGGCCTAGCGGCGCCTCTGGCGGCGCTGGCTGGGCGACAGGGTCTGGATCAACACCTGTCGAGCCATGGGGTTTCCCTTATGCCGCATCCTCCTTGGAGGTCTCGGTCCTGGCAGAGAAGGCCCCTCTAGTCCAGGTGGGGCTGAAGGTAAGCTGCCACCTCCGCCCCCTCCCGGTCCGAGGCTCCGAGGGTCTCCCTGGGGCGCCCGAAGATCGTCGCCATCGTCAACTGCTCAGGGCCCGCTCGGATTGCCCGAAGGCGCGGGCGCTGACCGACTCGCCGTCGCCCGCGGCCTGGTCCTCGCTATACGTCGGCGGGGCCTCGCTGGAAAGGTCGATCACATCAATGGCATCGAGTTGCTTCTGGACCTCGCCAACGGCCCACGCCCGAGGATGTTCGCGACGCTAGCGCAGAGAATCCACCGCCTCCTCGGGCGGGGTGGCAGGTCGAAGCTGTCCTGGAGCAACTCGGTAGAGGCGACCAGCCAGCGCGATGTTGACCACGGCCCCTGGCAACCGAGGTCGGCGCCCCCAGCTCGCAGGCTCGCGGCAAAGAACTCGCCCAGGTCCGAACCAACGCCTCGCCCTGGCACGGAGCGAGGCCGCCCTTTCTTCCGCCGGGAGCCGCCTGCACACGAGAACCAGGTCGCCAGTCTCGTACTTCTTGAAGGACCTCAACCTTGCTGCCTCACGTTGCTTCACGCGGTCCGAATTATCCGTCTGGATATGTGCCTACCTCGCCAGTCCTCGCACTGGGGCCTCTGCTGAAGGTGCCATCCTGCAGCTCGGGGCAGGTTGCGTGGTTCGTCGGACAGGTTGACGGCGGTGCCAGTTGGTGTCCGACTCACATACCGTTGGAGCGGGCTGAAACTGTCGATCCTGCTCAGATCAGTCCTCGCCGCGACCTGGAGACCGATCATCTCGGAAGTCGACACCTCGGCTGGGGCCATCTCGTCGAAGGCGCCGAGAGCCCCCTTGAACGCACCGATCCCGCGCTCAATCTTGCCGATCTGCCAGCGGGCGTCGGTGGCGCAGGGCAGGCAGTAGACGCCCAGACTCTCGACCCACTCCCTGGACTCGTCGGATACGGCACTTCCCGCGGGGCCACGGCGCATGACCTTCGGGCGCCCATCCAGGGACACAATTTCGCGGAGAAGATATGCCGAAGCTATCCAGCACGCAGTTGTCGAGCCCGCCCTGGAACCTCCTTCTCGCCGGCCAGCCTAAGAGGACAGCTGGGGCCCGACAAAATTATCGGCGCTTGCGTGCCAAAACGTTCTGATTTGCGGAGGTGGGCTCCCTGGCGTGAACGGCCGAACGACCCCTGCAGCGGGACACTCTGGCAACACGGCCGCAGCCGCAAAAACTGTCGGTTTCACGCCGGCACCGCGCAAGGGCGGCGCCGAACAACGCCTCCGAGACGGCCCCAGAAGCCCCCACGACGGCTCCGAGAGCGTGCCCAGAGGGGGGACCCGAACGGACATTTCGGGCTCGGCCCTGCGAGGAACAAGGAGGCCCGAGGAGACCCCCAAGCGGCCCCCAAGAGGCCCACCAGAGTTCCCCAGGAAACCCGAAGAGGCCCCAAGAGGCTCCGAGGAGGCCCCCAGGAGGCCCCCAAGAGGCACCAGAATTCCTCCCCAGGAGCCCCCGAGGGCCTTCCGAAGAGACCCCAAGAAGCATCCCTCTGGCCCACGTCAGCGTCGTCGTCGCCGCCGCCGCCGTTGTCGTCGTCGTCCCCCGTCAGGGTCGGCGGCACTGGCCGTAAGGCCTTCACATTACTGGCCTGTTCCTACGGCCGCTCCACATCTCACTTCCAAGAAACATTATATACAATTTGCCTTTGCGCCCTGAACACCATCCGTGCATGCAGTAGAAGACGAGAAGCGAGGAACGGTCGACATCCCTACATGTTCGGTCACCATGCATGGACACGAGAAGCCTAATCTCGAACCGAGCTAAGCAACGGAAAAACCTCTAGTCATGGAGGCCACTGAAAACTGGTGTACATAGATCGCACGTGCTTCATCAATAAAGCGAGCCACCCAACGGATATACAATCGGCCTCCATGCCAGTTGGACAAGCCGACGTCGGAGATGGTGAAATCTGCAAACTGCAAAATGGTGTAAAGACATATGTGTATATGCTTTCTTCGCCGCGGACAACACTTCGAACTCAACATGGCCCAGTGAACATGCTTTCTTTGGGCCTGATTTCTGTCGGCTGCGCATTTATGCGGGTTTCTGCGGCATGGTGTCTAGTACATAAACTGACGTGCGTCCAATGTGTGCTGCCATACCCCCCAGTAGACATGAATGCATCAAGAGGACGAATACAATGTCATGACGCGATTGGCTCATGATACTCTTGGGAATTCCAGGGTTCCTAGCGGTCCTCGGCCAGTCATGCTAGACCGCTCGTTTCTTCCCGCGCAGGACAGCAAGACAAGCTGGATACCTTGATTCGTCTCATTGCCAATCCTTGCCGCCCCTCTGATCGGGGAGACGTACGACTCGGGTTCGGGGGACTCGGGTTGGCCCGGCGGGGCCATCATGAAAACGGCAAAACCCAATCTGAAGCTTGACGCGAGCCCCCGCTGCAGACATCCCGCGAAAACTGGACCGTCAGAATCCAGGTCGCGCTCGTCACAGAGCGACGGCAAACCCGAGCTCTGGCGTACTCGAGTCCTACGTTCTCCCCGTATCCAGGAGCATCCCCAAACCACACCGCGCTCGTGCTGCTACACGGGGCGGGCCGTCCCAGCAGCCCGAGAGGGGGGGGGAGGGGGGGAGCAAGGGAGGGCGAGGAACTCGAGGAGGGGCGGCGGGGCAGCAGGGTGAAGGGGGGGGGAAGAGGAGCAGGAAGGGCAGGAAGCGGGGAGGCGGAGACGGAGGGCACGAGGGAGACAGGGGAGGAGGAGGAGCAGGAGGAGGAGGAGGAGGAGGAGGAGGAGGAGGAGCAAGAGCAGCAGGAGTTGCAAAGGGGAGGAGGAGCAGTAGCGGCAGTACGGAGAGGAGGAGCAGCAAGAGGAGGAGGAGGAGGAAAACGACGAGGCCGCCCAACTGAAAATTTCTTGCGGCGCGGGCATGCACAATTCACCCAATGCTTCGAAACTGCTGGGCAGACCAGGTGGTGCTCCAAGCAGCTGACGCTTGCATCGGGTCCTGCCGGCCCTCCTGCTGCTACTCCTCATCCTCCAACTCCTCCTCGTCCTCCCTTCCTCCCATCCTTCCTCCCTCCCTCCCTCCCTCCCTTCCTTCCTTCCTTCTTTCCTTCCTTCCTTCCTTCTCATGATCACCCTCGCCATCATGATTACCCTCCACCTAGATCCCCTTCCCAGAGGTTGCCAGAAGCTAAAAAACAGCTCCAGATAGCGAAAAGCTATTCTTCAAGTTGTGAGCTATTTTTGAAATCAAACGCTATTTTTGAGAATCATAGCTATTTTTCAAGACGGAAGCTATTTTCATTGAGAGCTACTTCCTTCCATTAAGGATATATATATATATATACGCATGTATAATATAATACATAATGATATAAAAAACATATATACATACATGCATATATATATTTACATATGTGTTTATATGTGTACGATCATACATACATACATACATACATACATACCTATATATGTGGAACACGTGTTTTTCGTAACCAAACACATGTATGTGCGTGTTCACGTATGCGTTGTAGCGTGTGTGGTGCCATTGATAATTTTGATTACCAGAACGGAAGCGGATCTATCGTACGTGTGTTGCCTTCTTGGAAACATTTTGCGGCCATCTAGATTTGGTTACATCAGTGCATGCGCGTTGTAGCGGGAGTTGGTTGCATGTTTGTTGGTGTTGATGATGTCGTTGTTGGTGTTGTTGATGGTGTTGCCGTTGTTGCTGTTGTTGTTGCTGCTGCTGTTGTCGGTGGTGTGATTGTCGTTGTTGGTGTTGGTGGTGTTGTTGGTGTTGTTGTTGTTGTAAGTGCAGCTGGTGTACTGTAATTGTTGTTTGTTGTTGTTGTTGTTGTTGTTGTTTTGGTGGTCACACTAGTGTTATCTTGTGGTTCCCTTGGTGTTCGATTGTTGTTCCCTTGTTGATGTTGCACCGCCACATTGGAAGCACTCTTGGGCCATCGTGGCATTGGCGTTCCCAATGCCTATGTCACCTCTGGGGCTGCAAGTCGGATTAATTATTGTTGTTTTAGTTCGTGTCCCAGTCAGATAGTGCAAGTCTGCGGCAGCAACAGCGAGCGCCGTCGGCGATCAAGCCACGTGGGGTCAGCCACAAAAACGCCACGTGGGTCTGCCCTCGCGCCACGCGGGGTCTGTCCTAAAACACGTTGCCTTATCGGGCCTTGCCAGCCCATCGCTGGAGGGCGAGATTTCAAAATCTTGCATTGCAGCACATATGATTAAATCTCATGTTTTTTGCTTACCATTATCATCATCATTGTCTGCTCCAGTTGTTCGTCTTTTCTCCTACCATCCACCATTGCCTCCGAAACCTTTCATGCTCATGCGTTTCAACTGCCAGCTTTTCAAGTCTCGCCCTCCGTGGACGCCGCGCAGAGAGTGCACGTGATAGCCTAAATGCGCAAACCCTTCCCTAGTGACACACCCTCTGGGCCACGTGGGCCCCTGGATGCCGCCACCACGGCGATGCCGTGCCGCCCAACCCTGAGCATCAAGAAGGGTGAGTGATGCAAGCACACCGCCGCAAGAGTTTCTTCCCCTCCCCATCCATCCTTGGAGCGTTCGCGAACGAACAAATGGACTGGAGGGGAGGGAGTGGGTGGCGGCTGTGCGCGCTTGCGTCGCCCAGCCTGCTTGATGCTCTCTCTGATGGCCGTGTCGACCCTCGACCCCAACCATTTCCATGCTCGGCACGTGTTCGCGAATTTGCACACCCACATCGTCCATGTGTTAGCCCCAAGGGGGGAGTGGTTCGTCGTTCGTCGCACCCCTCTCGCGCGTGTCTATATTCCTCATAAATCCTCCAATGCACACCCATCCACCCGACACCGGACGGCCTCGTGCACCCCCTGGGGGACGGTTTGACGGGTGGCGGTGCATTGTAGTGGGGGGGCGTCTTCAGAACCGAATATGGCTACTTCGCTTCGGAAGACGCACGCGGGAGATCGGGGCGCATGTTACGAGCGGGTGGCTGGGCGATGAGGAGGAGGAGGAGGAGGAGGAGGAGGAAGAGGAGGAGGAGGAGGAGGAGGAGGGGATTAGGAAAAGGAGGAGGAAGAGGAGGAGGAGGAGGAGGAGGATGAGGGGGAGGATGGAGGGATGATGATTTGAAGGTGGATGTGGAAACGGAGGAATATGATTGCTTAGCACCGCTACGTATGCGAAGTGCATGCGTGTTGAAGGCAATAGTGCCTTCAACTCGCAAGTTGCTAGTTGACGGCAGTCGGTTGCCTCAGACTGTGTGTAAATTACTTAAATGCAATGCAAGACGTTGCAAATCCACCGCAAATCCACTGCAAATCCACTGCAAATCCACCGCAAATCCACTGCAAATCCACTGCAAATCCATCGCAAATCCACCGCGCCATTGGCGACACACCCCTCACATGCCATTCAGAACGGGTCGCCAGTTAGAAGCCATCGCAAACTACATCGCCCATCCCTTCCGCATCGGTCACGTGCATGCTGTGCATAGGCAGACACACATGGGCGCCCGTACAATCACATCATGACCAGTTATTTCAAACGCTTGGGAACCACGTGCGAGCGATGCGAAGCTTGCCACCACGGCCGAACGTAGATTGCCCACGCCCGAAACACAGTACTAGCAATCGTCAGGATACGTCGCACGTGTGTCTAAGCACGAGAGCAAACAGTACAATGGCTGATGATGTGCGCTCCGCGCGCATCAGTCACAGAAATCAGAGAAAGGTGGGGTGGCGTTGAACGATGCAATCACTACATTGACGACTTGCTCACAGAATAACCGTGGATACGCCTGCGACAACTTAAGCATCGCGTGATTGCCGTTTGTCTGGCCACGCTCAGACACACGTGTCAGAATGCATGAACTGCTTGCGTTGAGCGCCACATTCGCATGCTGCTGCGTGAAAGAAAAATGTTCAGCAGCAATGCGCATCGGGTGCGTGGTGTACACCTCGAGCGGCTTTGCACTCGAGCCACCAAATGCACCCAAAGCTGGAGTCGTCCGTGACGCATCCAGCATCCACAGCGTCAGCTTCATGACTGGGTGTTTGAACATCAGAGATCGAAGTGGCTGTTCTATAGCAACGTAAACATACTGGCAACCGCAGAAAGTCATGAGCCATGTCGTGACGATCACTGTTGCATTCGCATCATTGAGGGATTCATTTATCGTGTCGGTCCGAGCAGTGCCAAGAATGTTGTCACCTGCGTCACGCTGGTATGTGTTACGTGACAGATAGGACAGCCACGTTCTGCATTCGGGGCTCATCCAAACTGTACCGCCCCGCTTGACGCGACGTGACATATCCACAAGCATGATAAGACCTCCCAGCGACAGCAGATTCATGCACGGGTTGTCACATACATCAAAACTTGCAGCTCGCAGACCACGCATCTCGGCAGCGAATTTGATGCCAGCCTCGCCTCCGCACACCAACGCGACATCGAAGATGCGGTCGGCGTGTGGCCATGCCCATACGTCTTGTGCCACGGCGCACACCATCTGTTGGATCGGCAGTGCACGTGGCGTGAACAATATGTCAGCAGTCATCCCAATCGCCGTGAGAAGGTGAACTCCCCGTGACACTGCCCATCCGATACACATATCCATGCACATGTCGCTGTCAGTCTATATCGATGATCCCACTGAAAAAGTACGACTGCGGATCGACAGCTGCGATCAAATGAAACGACCGAAATAGCCTCTCCTCAAATTTTGCTTGATGACAATGCTCTGCCACCGACCTGAGCGTGTGGTTGAGAGACTCGTCTAGGAAACACTGGTAGGCAGTAGGATTCCCGTGGCGCGCAATCCTTCAACAGGTGAGCCAAAAGACCACGAGGTGCACAACGAAACGCCTCCAAACAATCTCCGAGAGCCTCCGAACAAGTCTCCCGAAAGCAAGGGCACCGCGCACATATCCCCGACGACTGTCCCCAGACACCTCCCAATCATGTGCTACATAAAGCATGCGTCCGCATGTGTGGCGGCGTTTAGGCTTCCAGTTGCGGTTTGGGGGGGGGGGGGGGGGCTTCGCGGGTTGCTGGGGAGGGTGCGCGTGTACGTTGATGGAGAGCGAGAATTGTGGGAGGAGATCGGCGGGAGGGAGCGTGAAGAATGGGGTGGTGCCCCCCTCCAACTCCCCCTTACGACGATCGAACTGATAAGATTATATCCCATCTCCTGTCGGCTAGATGTAGTGCAAAGTGGTGCTTCGGCACGAAATGAATCAATGCTGCCTCAGCTCGCGAGAGGTGCGTCATCATGAGATCGAACAGTTCGGACTGCTTAGCTCTGGGGACAACAAGAGGTTGCACCTTCATCGTGCTGATGAACTTCAAAATCGCTCTCCCCGATGCCACGAGGTCGGCCCACATCGGAAGTCCAGCACCGTGCTTCTCAAGACAATGCAGAGCAAACAAGGACATGATATACGTTTCGTGGGCCTTGAGTCTCATGGTGCACCCTGGGTGTGGACTTGACGGGTCCACATTGTCGAGGTCTCCTAACATTCCCAATGTGAAATCGTTGAATCTGTTTTCGTGTGAGATTCTGGATGCTGGATCCGCCTGCCACTCCATGAGTAGCGCCCGTAGCCGTCGAGCTGAAAGTTCAAACCTATGCTTCTTATCTCCTGGATGGTTCGCGGCGCCATGGCACGTGAGTCTCCAGAGGGTTGCCGCGCACCAACGCTGCAGGAGGCCATAGTAAAGTGAATGCAGAGCGTCGACCGCTAAACTCAACATCGGGTTGACACCGAGGGCGCGCGTGAACAGCGGGTTCCTGTGCCTGGCGACGCCAAGACCAGGTCGCCAGAAAACCAAATCGATCGGCACGCTCGATCGATCTAAATCGCCGATATCACGTAGTCCATGCGATGGTTGCAGCACGTCACCCTTGCGTATACCAAACTGTGCCAATTCGTCTGTGACTGTGCGACCGTGACTATCCTTGCCTTTTAGGTAGCGGAGCTTTGATAACAGGGCATGTTTATCACC